CCTCCTGCACTTACGATTTCCACATCTGTTCTCGTCTTTGATCTATCTAACTGTGTTTTCGTGATTAATGAATGACAGGCAGACAATTGAATGCTAGTGGGAATTTATAGGTCTGCAATTTTAAAATTGCAATCCAATAATGCAAGCAAATTAAAAATAAAAAAACTGGCAACGACTATTAATAGACTTTCCCTGCACTTGAACAGTAGCAGGAAATTGGATACTTTTCCATTATGCTACGATATAAGATTTAAACGAGAAATTATTTTTTGTGAGATCGTATCAATGCCAGGCTGCAATTTTTAATCATATTTTTAATTAATTTAATTTAAAATACAGTATATGTTTTCCACTTCAAATTAATAGTATCTTGTTCCTGTACATCAGGGGTGTCCAACCTTTTTCTTTCTCTGGGCCACATTGGAAGAAATCATGGAGTTCTGGGCCACAAGTATATTTGGCCTAACCCTTAAATATACAAGTATATTTAAGTATTTGCATGTCTAAATTATAGGGGAGATCGGGGCAAGATCGGCATATTAAGCTTTACTTAAATTTTGTATAATAAATACTGCTGTAAACTGAAAAAAAAGCTTTGCATATTGTCTATTGGAATGTTACCTTACTATAGAACTGGTTAAAATCAGTTTGGAAATAAAAATAATTAAAATAATTACAACTTTACAAGAAGAGAGAAATTGACGAAGTTGCCCCGGGTATAGGGGCAAGATCGGCAACTTCTCTCTTTTTGTAAAGTTGTAATTATTTTAATTATTTTTATTAAAGTTGCCCCTGGTATAGGGGCAACAGTAATGGGGCAAGATAGGCACGTATATAAAATTATGTTATTAACAATGTATAAGTTGGNAAATTTGGCGCAAGGTAGCCAAATCTTGCAACGCTGAAAGGAATATTAAATAAAGCTAGAGTTTGGATTCAAAGGATTATAGACCCAAATTCGGACAATGGAGAGAAAGGGCAAAATATAAAGAAGTGAGAAAGGTTAAATAGACCTTCTGTTATGTAACTATTGAACCTTAATTTTCCAACCTTTCTCACTTCTTTTTATCTTTTGGCCTATCTTTTCTTTCCCCGAATTTGGGGCTATAATTCTTTGAGTCATGACTCCAGCTTTATTTAATATTCCTTCCTCATTCAGACATTTCAAGTATTTGAAAATATTTCCTTTCTATTAAAAATATGTATAAATGTTTACGGCTTTCTGAAACTTCTTTTTTAAGGTTTAAGCCGTTGAAATAAATAAATAAATAATAAAAATATTTGTCGGTTTTGTTTATACGTTTGTTGGGTCGCATTGGAACGTGCCTTGGGCCGCGGATTGGACACCCCTGCTTTCAGGGGAAAACTTTTAAATTAAAAGAACGTGACTTCAGGTGCAAACTGGAAGTTTATATATAGGCAATCGCGGCCTCTTGCCTGTAAGATTTCAAAATCTTGTCTCGGATTTCATCTATCTAATTCCGTTTTTGAGATTAAGGGCTGTTTCACACTATGACCGACTGGTCCGACCCGACCGATTTTATAATCGGACCGACTAGTAGTAAAAGCATTCACATTAAGTACGATTATATGTCGGTGGCCGACTCATAACGACCAATCAGAACGCGTGTTATAGATCAATACACTAGCCAATCATGGTAAGTTTTTTAAAGTAAACAGAAAACATGGCCGTCATGGAAAGCGATTGTGCATTTAGATATATCGCGTCATTATTAGATGATTCAATCACATCTTCAAAGTTTAGTTTCTTGGAAATCTCCGTCCAAGAATTATTTTTTTAATGTTGTCTTTATAATCGGCTCGCCGAATATCATAAAGCCACGGATACATTCTGACTTCGTTTATTAAAGTTTCCGAGAAATCTATACTTTCCGCCATTTTCTAATTTCGACTAGATTGGATAAATCTAAACTCTGATTGGTTATAGCTTCGAAGCTCTCATTGGCTGTAGCTCACCGACTGCTCCGCCACACTACAAATATTTAACTTTTCAAATCTGTCCGACTGAAACGACTAGTCGGTCGGCAGACTGCTGTTGCCATGGCAACACGACTTGGAGTCGGGCCAGTCGGTATAGTCGGTCAGAGTGTGAAACAGCCCTAAGGAATTGTTATTCCTTAGGGCTGTTTCCGCTCACGTTACCGTTACCGTATAGGTCACGTTACCGCTCAATTTCCGCATAAGCCCGTCATCTGCAGGAGAAAGAAACGCGATTCAATTTCTTTAAGGCTGTTTTCTTTTTGCTTTCTTGGGAAGTTCTTTTGACTTTTTGAATTTTAATGAAAAATACATACAATAAATTCTCCCTCTCATCAGACAGACGAGAGGGAGAATTTATAGGTCTAATATTTTTTCAAATTGCAGCTCAATAATAACTAAAGGTTAAGTGGAGTAATTTTGTTGATTTATTATAAATTTTTCTACTTAATAGAACATTTAAAAAAATAAATAAAAAATACTAAGACATACTATAAAAAAGAAAATTGTGTGTGGTGCTGTAATGAGTTTTTATTTTAAAATAATTTTTGTTATTAATCACTGTATTATAAAAGCGCAAAAGGTTTAATTTTGACGGTTCAGATGAGTTTCTAAAAAATTGTAAATGTCAATAACACGTAAAATTTTCATAAGTCTGATCCCACTGGAAATATGACACTTTCCACTCTATTCTCACCCCTTGATCTTTAACCACTAAAATTTAATAGCATCAATGACCCATATGTAGAAATAACCCTTCCAAGTTTCAAAATTAGGGTTCATTCTATCCTGAAGTATAATGCAAAATTCTGTATATATATATTGATATGAAATGAAAAAAATATATACATATATATATTTTGGGAGATTTTTTAACAGTCAAAACATCGGGAAATGCAGAAACACCAGGAGTCAAAATTTGACTGCTCACCATACTTTCCCTACGTTTCCCAAAAAAGTAATAGCAATAATTTTAAAATATTTATTAGTATCATAATTATTTATTATAATTTTATCGCTGATATTTATTTCAAATATTTCTCTTTTAATCGTAGAATAAAATTTAAAAATCCAGTGCACTACACAAGTGAATTCTGACCATATAGTTTCGATTTTTTTCTTTTATTTAAACTTCTTTCTTTTAACATTGTAATATTGTTATTACTGATTTATTCACATCGTCTATCAGTATAGATTGCATTAAAAAACAATTCGGCAATTATCCAAAACGTTTTTCCGTCAATCTATATTGATGAAAGAGCAAACAACATACCATCCAACGCCATTTTTGTTGTGACGTATTATTGTGACGTACAGTACCATGAGTGAGCGCTGGTCTGAGTTAAATGTTCAAGAATTCGGACGCCATCTTCTTGAGTGGTCACGTTACCGCTCAATTTCCGCATAAGCCCGTCATCTGCTGGAGAAAGAAACGCGATTCAATTTCTTTAAGGCTGTTTTCTTTTTGCTTTCTTGGGAAGTTCTTTTGACTTTTTGAATTTTAATGAAAAATACATACAAGCGTCTTGTAATCATTTGTTGTATTTGTGTATACTGTATAACTATCAATTTAGTTCAAATTTTCCGCTAGCAGATAAATGTCTGTTCTGGTTATCAGTACATGCCAGGTGCAGACTTAACAAGACTCGATATAGGCAGTCGCCTAGAGTGACAGAATCAGAGGGATGCACCACACAGACATTTTCAAGTTTCCTACTGTAAGATGATTGAGATAAAAGCAATTTACATTATGACACTTTCTTGCTTTAAAAAATTTATTTTGTTTTAATTTTTAACGAGATAACAATCTACNGTTTAAGCCGTTGAAATAAATAAATAAATAATAAAAATATTTGTCGGTTTTGTTTATACGTTTATTGGGTCGCATTGGAACGTGCCTTGGGCCGCGGATTGGACACCCCTGCTTTCAGGGGAAAACTTTTAAATTAAAAAAACGTGACTTCAGGTGCAAACTGGAAGTTTATATATAGGCAATCACGGCCTCTTGCCTGTAAGATTTCAAAATCTTGTCTCGGATTTCATCTATCTAATTCCGTTTTTGAGATTAAGGGCTGTTTCACACTATGACCGACTGGTCCGACCCGACCGATTTTATAATCGGACCGACTAGTAGTAAAAGCATTCACATTAAGTACGATTATATGTCGGTGGCCGACTCATAACGACCAATCAGAACGCGTGTTATAGATCAATACACTAGCCAATCATGGTAAGTTTTTTAAAGTAAACAGAAAACATGGCCGTCATGGAAAGCGATTGTGCATTTAGATATATCGCGTCATTATTAGATGATTCAATCACATCTTCAAAGTTTAGTTTCTTGGAAATCTCCGTCCAAGAATTATTTTTTTAATGTTGTCTTTATAATCGGCTCGCCGAATATCATAAAGCCACGGATACATTCTGACTTCGTTTATTAAAGTTTCCGAGAAATCTATACTTTCCGCCATTTTCTAATTTCGACTAGATTGGATAAATCTAAACTCTGATTGGTTATAGCTTCGAAGCTCTCATTGGCTGTAGCTCACCGACTGCTCCGCCACACTACAAATATTTAACTTTTCAAATCTGTCCGACTGAAACGACTAGTCGGTCGGCAGACTGCTGTTGCCATGGCAACACGACTTGGAGTCGGGCCAGTCGGTATAGTCGGTCAGAGTGTGAAACAGCCCTAAGGAATTGTTATTCCTTAGGGCTGTTTCCGCTCACGTTACCGTTACCGTATAGGTCACGTTACCGCTCAATTTCCGCATAAGCCCGTCATCTGCAGGAGAAAGAAACGCGATTCAATTTCTTTAAGGCTGTTTTCTTTTTGCTTTCTTGGGAAGTTCTTTTGACTTTTTGAATTTTAATGAAAAATACATACAAGCGTCTTGTAATCATTTGTTGTATTTGTGTATACTGTATAACTATCAATTTAGTTCAAATTTTCCGCTAGCAGATAAATGTCTGTTCTGGTTATCAGTACATGCCAGGTGCAGACTTAACAAGACTCGATATAGGCAGTCGCCTAGAGTGACAGAATCAGAGGGATGCACCACACAGACATTTTCAAGTTTCCTACTGTAAGATGATTGAGATAAAAGCAATTTACATTATGACACTTTCTTGCTTTAAAAAATTTATTTTGTTTTAATTTTTAACGAGATAACAATCTATGATATAGCAATTAAACCAAATGACACGTTAATTATTTTGATGCGCCGTCATTCCCTACTAAAATTTTATGCTTCACGTTATATCCGTGTTCTCTAAATCTCGAAGCATTGCGTTTTCCTAAACTTTCATGTAAAGCAGGTTTAATGGGTATAAAGTAATCATCATCGTCGTCATCAGAATCAGTTAATTCTATTTTATAACGAATGAAAGGTAATTTTTTGGGAGGAGACTCTGGAGTAAATTGTTTTTTCTTTGGACGATGCGCTCTGGGATAATATACAGTTCCTTCCTGTTATAATAAAATGTATTCAGAATCTTTATAGTAGACTATATCAACGAATAAGAATAATGGATGTAGACTATTACTTACATCTTCAGATTCAGTTGTGCCTTCTGTGCCGTATTTGCCCTATTAAATTTAAATGTTTAAGATTTTTTTACATTTGTAAGATTATATACATGTGCATTATGCATACATGCTACTTAAACAATAAAGATCTTACATCGGGAGAATCATCAATGTTGATTGTAGTTCTAACTGACAGCTGCGATGGAGTTTTATGAGGCTAAAATATTTCGTAATAAAAGTTTAATTTATATATTTATAACATAATCCTAAACAAAAATTAGTTTTTCTTACAGTGAAATCTTCAAAATCTTTTTCTTCCATTGGCTCGAATTTAACATTTGGTTTTGACTGCAAAAAAATAAATAAATATAGGCCTATAAATAATATTCAGCTTAAACATTCAATTTTATTTTTAAAAACAAGAGTTATCAATATAAATTTTTCATAAACTTATGAATATTATGATTAAAGGCATAATAAAGTTAATAAATTATAAAGTTTATACTAACTGTTGAATGCTTGATAACAATTGTTGTATCGCAATCTTCAGGAGATGAATGAGTATTAGGGCTTCTTTTAGAACGCTGAAAGAAAAGTATTTTGTTACTACAGTTTGTGTTGGATTAATTAATTAAAAATATAGAGTCATGTTGGAAACACATTTACTTTTTGCATTTTAATTTAGAAATTATTTATATAGAAACGAAGTTTAGAATAAAAATTTTCCTTCGACTGATTTACAATAATTTTATAAAAATCGATGATTTATTAATCGAATTTTCAGGATTATGTTATTATTTGTAAGACTGTACCCTACTTGTAAGAAATGATACAGCTTTTCTTTAATAAAAGAACAATAAAAATGACATTAAGAAATTAATTGTTATTAGTAGTAATAATTCATTTGTTGTATTTGCTAATAAGTTATTGTTTTTTTATACATTTATTCGAAGACAACAGCAGAGATGATTTAAATTATATAAAATTAAAATTTTTAAAATAAAATTTCAAAATAATAAATTTGAAATTTTTTTTATTACCGATTACTTTGATTTTCTCTGATACCTCTGATACAAAAAGTTTTAAGATTTACATAAGATAAATTGCAGAATTTAATAGCATATTTATATTATATTTCCAATCTATTGTTTATAAGTTTTAATAAATTATTTTACTAAAAATTTACTTAAAATAATTTACTTATTTATTTAAATTTAGTTTAAGATACAAATAATATTTTAAATTAGAATAATGGAAGTTTCCGCACAATATTTTAAAGCGCGTTTCAGGTTTTCTGTGATATTATTTGTAATGATTTGTGGAATCTATCATGTACTGCGTATTATCATTTATAATACCGTAATATTTTGTGTTATTATTATAATAAATATTTACTCGAGAAAACATATTCCCTGTAAAGGTTTTCATTATGCAAAAGACAAATATATCGATCATATTATTTCTCGCTATGCATTTACAGAGACGCCTTACATATAAGAAGACAGAATGTTTTGTTCTTAAATATAAAAGAAAATATCTACAAGTAATTTTAAATTTCAGGTATGTATTTTTAAATTAGGCATTAATTTAAAATTTTGTTATATTTTTGAAAGAATATATATATGAAAATTTAAGATCGCTGCAGTTTTAAAGCATGAAATAACCACGATGGAAATGCATATAAACTTATACATTTCTGTGAAATATCATATTTATTTTAATATTAATATTTTAAAATTTCTTAATTAATGCTTAACAATAACGATTAAAATTTATATTATCTTTTAAAAATATGGAATGTTGTTTTTGTCTCTCTTTTAAATTCGGTATCTGAAGCAGTTGCTTCGTGGCTTCATCCATCGAAGTAAAAAATAATAATACGTAAAGAATTTGAATTTAAATAGTTTAATACTCTACTTATTTAAATCAATTAACCATTTTAAAACAAATATTCATTATACAATCTTTACAGAAGTTTTTCTCAGATAGAAAATAAGGATCAAATATCAAGAGAATTCATAGAAGGTATTTTTCCAATGTATCATGACTTATTAATTTCATATTACATACAATTGCTTTTTATAATTTCAGTGGTAATTCTACAATAAGCAGAAAAATGATTACAATAGCAAATAAGGCTAAACAGAGAATCAAGATTAAAGAACAAGAACTACAATGTATCTTATCGAAAATTTGGAAACCTTTGATAATATCGATGAATTTATTAGGTTTGAAATTTAAGAGCAGGTTTTCTCTTCATATTATTTTAATGTTAATGGCAGCTAAACTTTATTCTCTCTTTTTTGTTTGTGAAAGTGTCCTAAGATTGTTGAAACACAAATCGTCTTCACTTGATTGGTTTATATTTGTGTATTTCGAATTTTGTCTTTTCATATATATATTCTCTATGTATCACTTTCATATTAATAAGAAAGCGCTCCTCAGCAAAATCAACGTCTTAATTGAAATTTCAGAGAATCAAGATGTTACAAACAATCATAAATATTTGTTAATCAAATGTTGTTTAATTTGGATAAATAGCATAATTTTTAGCATTTCTATGTATTATAATATTATAGCACCAAAATTTCGAACATGGAATCTAAACGATGTTTTTGAAACTAATTTTGTAGGTTACGAAGCAGTTATGTTTTCCTATGTTCCACTTCTCAGTTTTATATGTTTTATTTTCCTTCCAAACAATTTTCTATTTCTTTTCTTTATTTCTATCTGCAAAATTATACAAAATTCATTTGTTAAATTGCATACAAATGTTCTTTCAAGCATTGATATTTCAGAAAAGATTCATTCTATATCATTTAAATATATACAATTATTAGATTATGTAAACATCATTCAAAATATTTATTCGCCGATATTATTTCTATGGTCGATTTCCGTAGGTGGCAATATGGTTTTCTATATTGGTATTCTTCTTAGCACTAAAGGATCCATCACGATTATAAACGTTATGAATTTCTTTTGCTTTGCCTGTTTTCCGTTTCTTTTATTTTCAGATATATGTTTTTCCTCATCAAATATTTCCAGAAGATCAAAACATATATTAAATGACATGTACAAGACATCTTTATATTATAATAAATCACTTCAGGAATTTGCCTTTCAATTTAGTCTGAAAGCTTTGCAAGATTTGCCTCAATTTTCAGCATGGAACATGTTTTATATTGACAGTAATTTAATTATAGCAGTTTTAAGTGTAGTTTTTACTTATAGTCTAGTGATGTATCAGTTTTCAAATAAAACTAATTATTAATATACAGTAGAGCATCGATCATCCGACTCAATTGAGGACTGGGGATGGTCGGATAACTGAAAAAACGGATAATCGAAAAATATGAAAAAATACATTATTAGTATATCCTGTGTAATTAGTATATTAGTATATCGCTATTAACCTACTTCGCGTTAAATTTTCATCGATGTTAAGCCTAACAAAAATTTTTTTAAAATAATAATCGTCGCTATTGAATCGTTAAAAATTAGAAAATTAAACCTTATTTAAATACTGGATAAAACATGTAAAAATAATATTAAAGTAGCCAAGACAGCCAAATACTGTAGCGCCACATCACTAGCGGACATTTGAATATGCCTACTAGAAAGCGGTTGGTTAACCGATGTGACGGTTGATCGGGGGTCGAATAATCGATGCTCTACTGTACATATATCAAAATTTATCAAGTTATAATTTTCTAAAAGCGTTTCATTCTAAAAAATTAACCTACTGAATTAGAATTGAACGCTTTTTCGAATACATTTCCTGAATTCGAATTGAACGCTTTTTCGAATACATTTCCTGAATTAGAATGAAACGCTTTTTCGAATACATTTCCTGTGATTTAATAATTATACAATTAAAAACTAAATATTCCAATAATTAAAAATGCATGCTCTTCTATTTCACTGCTTTGCAGTATATACTTTTAATTCGCTAAAGTAAAATTATAGAATTGCATTTTTAAAACAAAACAAAAAAAAAGAATAAAAGAAAGAAAAAAGTTACATTTTTTACTAATTAGCCTATATCTAAATATAATAATCTTTTGTACAGTACAAGGCAACAGTGGCACATTATCTTATGGGTAAAAAGGGCAATTGCCTGGGGCCCCGCTAACAGGAAGCCCAAATCAATCTTGTATAAGAAAATATTTTCCACAAAAAATTCCCACAAAAAAATATGTCTGAAGTAAACACTAGGATCACCTAATTTAAATTCTCCTGAGACCTATGAAGCTATAATTGTACTGTATATTATGCTATATTGTATATTATATTTTGCTTGACATAATATACAATTATATAGAAGAATTACATAAGAAAAAAATTTTCCCCAAATTTCTTAAAATTATATTTACATCTTTATTGATTTTAATAAATATACAAATGAAGTAAAAATATTAATTAACGACAAAGCTAACAATATTTTTTTTTTGAAGAAAAGTAATTATTATTTAAGTAATTAAAAGATCATAATATAACTATCTACAGAAAGAAAAGTGTTAAAATATAAACAGATTTACCAGCATCACAGAATTAGAGTTTTGAAAAAAGTCCAATAATTATTGAAAAATTCGATTAAAGACACAAAATCATCGTGGAATTTTATTTTATATATTCTCAAAATAAACTTTATTCGAAAAGTTATTGTCATTTATGAGTTAATGTATTTAACTACACAACAGAGAAGATAGCACCGCCATATCCAATTACTTTAAAAAGTCAGAAGGATTCACGGAAGTAAAACGTCCAACTATGACCTATGTAATATTATCAATATAATGCAACAGAGAACATGATATGTATTTAGTAGCATCAGATATTTTCCGTTTGTAAAGAAACAAATGAAGAAATATTTAAATGCATCAAAAATATTAATATAAAGTTTCCAGACACTGATGATTTATTGAAAAAATATTGTTGATATATAATAGCCTACTAACGGAGTGAGACAAAAAAAATCTAGACTGAATTTACAGCATCATAACTTTTGAACTTAAAATGATCATTTTAAAATCTTCGCGCTAGAAATTACGTTATTAAGCATGTTCAGTTACAACACGTGAAGTTTTTGAACATTTGTGAGTCAGTTCGGAAAAATGACTTCGAAAGACGACGTATTAAGAGAGCGTGTTACACAAATCTACGAAAATAAAGCAAATCACTCAAAAAATTGTGGTGGAGCATTTTTTAGCCGAAGACTATAGTAAATTAATTGTATTTAATATTTTCAAGAAATATAAAATATCTTGAACCTGGGAATGAAAAACAGAAAGTGACAGAACGCCGGTGTTATGAATGCTAAAAATCGAAGAGCAAACATGTTTGACAACAAAGATATAGTTAGTCAGGTGAAGGCAGCTAAAAGGTTCAATTGTCATCGAACATAAGTAGATAAGATTCCTAAGAATGGACATAAAGAAAAGAAAGAAGAGGGCTCCAGAGTACATTGCTGAAAAAATTGCTGAAATCCGAACGAAATGTAGATGACTCGTAAGAAATTTTGAAACAAAAAGTTCATTATTCAGACTCCTAGCTTATATAACAAACTCATACTAAATGTATATTTCAAAAGGGAAAAAAAAAACACAAAAAGAAAGAAAGAATGGAAAAATAAAAAGTCTAAAGAACGATTATATTTATTTTTAAAAACTATTTTAAAAATATAGTATAAAAAGTGAAAACCCATTCCTTGTTAAATATAAATTAATCAACAATTATGTTTAAGATTTTATGTGATATCTCTACATTAAGTTCGAGTTGGTATGGAACCAATACGAACTCTTATTGTAAATATTTAAAATATTGTTGATATATAATAGCCTACTAACGGAGTGAGACAAAAAAATCTAGATTGAAT